TATTGCAAATGTAAAGATACCTAATGTAGCCTCTGATTATTTCTCAGGCTGTTGTAGCATAAATCTGTCTTAGCAATGGAGTAGGATTTCCTAATAATGTTTTCAAATATTTGTATTCCATGTGGATTTTATGATTCATAACCTGGATTACCATCAGTACTCTGTTTTGCATTCCTGGCACATGATGACCACTGATTGAAAATGCTATTGTATTCCTTACTGGAATTGGCTGCTTTCTACAGTGGGAAGCATCTGCTCTGCAGACCTTTTTCTATAAAGTATCAACATGTTTTTCTTCTGTGAGGAATAACAGAGTACATATAAATGAAGTATAGCTTTAGAAAAACTTTGTAAATATCTATCTTATTATAAATAAAAAGTATCAAATGAAATTTTAACAATAATGTATAATATCAAGTTTTTCAGAATTAATAATTTTCAAAAAGTAGAAAGTGTTGCTGAAGAGTTTTTAAGACCATCACCAAATGAGTTTTCTAATTTCATACAAACCAGTTCTCATTTCATCTGGACTTCATTAATTACTGTTTGAGTGCCATCGTCTCATTAGTGAATTGAGTGCTCACTTTTTTTTTCATTGCCATTTTTTTTTTTTTTTTTTTACTGACAATTTGTAAATTAGATTAGCATCCTTTAGCAAAGTGACTATGCAAGTAAAAATAAGCCCTGGCCAGTGTGGCTCAGATTAGATCGGCTTACATACCGAAGGGTCTCAGGTTCAATTCCTGGTCAAGGGCATGTACCTGGGTTACAGCTTGATCCCTAGTCCCAGATCAGGTGTGTGGGAGGTAACCAATCAATGTATTTCATATCTCTCTCTCTCTCTCTCTCTCTCTCTCTCTCTCTCACTTCCCCCCTCCCCCTTTCCTCCTCACTCTCTCTCAAAAATTCAATGGAAAAAATACATCCTTAAAGTGAGGATTAACAAAATAATAGTAAACAATAAAGCAATCATTCCAAACTTGATTCAATGTTTTTATAATTTTACAGATTATCTAAGCCAATTGTTTGAATCCAGAGGTGCAGGCTTCATTATCCCTTTGCATATTCATCTCTAATATAGAGCCTAGGAAGACTCAAAGTATTATTTCACACCAACCAGATGTTATGTTTCTTGTTAACTTTAATGGTCACAGCACTGAATCTTATAAGGATAAAAGACAATGACTCACACATATAAAAATAGATGTAGTGTTTTGGGAATAAACTGGTTGTAACCACGATAAAATATTAATCCAGCAGTAGATTTTTAAAAATAACTGATAGAATATCCAACTTTTCCCTCCCTCCCTCCCTTCCTCACTCCCTCTTCAGTGGGATCTACTGGGAAGAGTAAATCCTAACTTTTTGTAAAATTTGCTTTTTGAACAAGTACAAATCAGTTTGTTTATGTATGTCAGTTTCTTCATCTCTTTTTTTTATTAAATGTTTTTATTGATTTCAGAGAGGAAGAGAGAGATAGAAACCTTAGTGATGAGAGAGAATCATGAATCAGCACCTCCTACATGGTATACACTGGGTATTGAACCCACAACCCTGGCATGTGTCCTGACAGGGAATGGAATTGTGACTTCCTGGCTCATAGGTCAACGCTCAACCACTTAGCCACGCTGGCTGGGCGTTTCTTCATCTCTTAACTTAGCAAAATGAAAAGTGCTCTAGCTAACCTGTAATATAAATTAAATTAGACTTGAGATATTCTTGTTGATAACTTAAAAGCCTTATTCAATTGGAAATTAGATCTTGGGCTTTCAAATTAGAATGACCTAGTTAGAATCCTTGCTCCTCCACTTATTTATTGTATTATGACCTTGGACAAATTATTAGACCCATTTAAATGTCAGATGTATTATTTGTACAATGAGGATAATAATATCTCACAGGATTAATAAGAGGTAAAATGAAAGTAGCCTACAATAAATCCTTAACATAGTGTTAAGAACTCATTGATGATGACTTTTAATTGTTAGATTAATGATTAAATGTAATTCTAGTTAATAGCATTATTTTCTTCCCAAAGTTTCTTCAGTAGTCATTCTATGTTTTAAAATAATAAGTAGATTTAAATAAAGCTCTACACTAGAACCTTACATGATATTTTCCTTAGTTCTGTGTTTTAGCACCACCTCAAAGTGAGGGCTTTACCATTCATTTAATAGATTACATAATTAGACTAAGGCTTGGTACTGGTTACTAGAAATGTAACTGTTAACTAGATTTGGTTACTTCCCTTATAGATTTTAGAGACTAATGGGAGATTTGGACAAGTCAGATGAATAGACAACTACAGTATTGTGTTATAAGTGTATGATCAGCAATAGTACAAGGTGCTATGGCAATAGAAAAGCATGACACTAATTCAGTCTCTCGTTTTTGAGCTGAGTAGTTCTATTGTAAGAGAGAAGTTGTAGTCACTCAAAGGTATTTATATATGTTACTTACCTAGTCTGCTTATCCTTCAAAACCTGATTTAGAGGCAGACTCCTCTGTGAGGCTTTCTTCACTTATTAAAGGCAGAGCCAGAGGCTCTATTCTTGATACTCCATTGTACTTGCCAGCACTTTTCTTACAGCACTTAGAATACCCTGTAATTCATTGATCTCAAAGCCAGGTTCATGACTTAACATGTAAATGTGCAATAAATGTTCATTGAATAAATTAACGAGTGCAAATATAAATTGATCCGTTCATTAAATACATTTTTTTTAGTCAAATACCTACTGTGTACCAGCTGTTCTAAGCATTGTGGATTCATCAGTGAAAAAGAGGCATTCTGCCTTTATTAACCTTACATTCTAGTGGTGGAGAAGCCAGGTTCAGGCTATAAAGAATGGAGAAAGATAAAAGAATGGTGGAGACTTCAATTTTAGACTGGGGGTCAGAAAAGCTGTACTATGGCAGTAACATCTAAGGAGAGACTTGTTTAAGTAAAGGATCAAGCTGGTGTGGAAGGGTTTTCCAGGCTGAGAGACAAGCCAACTTAAAGGCTGGAGGAGGACTATGCTTAGAATGCTCAAGAAATAGCACACAAGCCAGCATGGCTGGGACTTGATGAGTGAGAAGGAATGTGATAGGAGATGGGATTGGCAAATATTACTGGGCCAGATCACATTTGGCTATGACAGATTTTGGATATTATTCTAAGTGTGATGGGAAGCCAAATGCAGTGTTTTGGGCAGGAGAGTAACACGATGTGATTTGTCTTTTGAAAGGATCAATCTGCCTTTTGTGTGAGAGACTAAAGAGGGCAAGAGTTGGAAGCAGTGAAAACTGTTAGGAGGCTGTTTCATAAGCCAAGTGGGAGAAGATCATGGCTTTGACTAGGAATGACCAAATAATTTGCATGGGACTCGGAATAGAAGCTGGTGACATAGCTGTTAAAATTGTAAGCCTAGGTCTCTAACTTAAGCATTCAAGTAGATAAAAATTTAAATGTAACTAAGTACAAGTATTTAGTGAAGAAATGAAGGAACTAGTTTTTTAGTTCAAGTTCTACGGTTCTGTTTTGTTTTCAGTTCTACTAAATAGGTGTGTGGCCTTGTGAAAATCTCTTACTTTCTGTGGGCCTCAGTTTTTTTTCAGATACAAAATGAAGGTATGAATTATTAAAGGTCCCTGATTTTATACCGTATTTTTCGGACCATAAGACGCACTCCCCCCCCCCCCCCGAAGTGGGGGGGGGAAAGTCCCTGCGTCTTATGGTCCAAATATAGCCTACACATATACTGTACTTTAAAAAAAAAGTTATTTTACTTGCCCTGCTCTGTGTGGTCTCTGTGTGCTTGCCCGGCTCTAAAATGGTTCTAAATGTTGCTGTTTACTTTACAGGGTTGATTACATGTGTTTATGACTGTGATGTTGGGTTTTAATGCACATAAAATATTTTAGGACACTATTTGTTTCAGAATCTTTTTTTCTTCATTTCCCTTCTCTAAAAACTGGTGCGTCTTATGGTCCGAAAAATACGGTAATTCTTTGAAAAAGTAAACATATAGGTAATTAATGTTTACTGCATAACGGGATAATGAATGAAACACTTTAATAAAGTCAAAAGTACCATAAGGCATTCCTATCTATATGATTCTTACATTTATAAAGGAGTTGGCTGACAGTTATGAGTTCACAAATTTAAATGTAAAAGTGTGTAATGCAGATTATAAATCCTATAAAAGATTGGAAAAGAGAGTAATTAGTAAAGACTGAGTTAACCATGAACGTAATACATACTTGATCTGGGACTAACTATGTTTAGTTAAAATGAATAGAGAAGAAAGAACTCTGGGTGCAGAAGAAGGCATGAGCAGAGAGAGGGACTGAATGAGCATAGCATGAGAGGAGTTTTTGGCAGCTAGTGACTCAGGTTGAACATTGGATTCACAGTGAGAGTGGAATAGAAGTTACCGGTTATTCGGGGAAGGGCAGACTGGGTTACAGAGTTTCTGTTTGGTATGATGAAAAAGTTCTGGGTGTAGTGAAATTGGTGTAGGTGATGATTGTACAACCGTATGAATGTACTCATTGTTACAGAACTATATACTGAAAAATGATTAAAATGTTAACATAAATTTTATGTTATGCATACTTACCACAATTTTTAAAAAGCTAATTGCCTTTGTATATATAAGGCTATAAATTTTATAGCTGTTATAGTGTCAACATGTTCTGTCTTTAATGTGCTCTCTTTTATTTATTTTGTCACTGTATTCTTTGTTATGCATTTGTTGATAATTTACATATTTCGGCCCTTATTTTAAAAATAGCTAGAGCAGCCTTGTATTTCATCAATTTCTATTGAGTTAGCTTTAATTACCTAAAGTTTTAGGTTCTTATGGATAACTGGCTCTTACAATAACATTGGTATGTGTATCCTTACATTAAAATCAGCAGTAATAGTAGTATTTTTCATGATTAAAAGTATGCTGAGAGGTAAGAATCTAGCTGTCTTAAGAAAGCCTGTCTTCACTGCAGTATTCTTCTTGCAGGATGAAGACGAGCTGGACTCCCACACCATGGTGAAGACCAGCTCGGAAAGCGTGGGCACCATGAGGGCTACGAGCACCATGAGCGAGGGCGCCCAGACCATGATTGAGCATAACAGCACCATGCTGGAGTCTGACTTGGGGACCATGGTTATAAACAGTGAGGATGAAGAGGAAGAAGACGGGACTATGAAAAGTATGTGGCTTTTTTCCATTGAATATTCATTTTCTATTTTGAAAGTATACTTCCATAGAAACCAGAGTAATTATATATTACTTTTTATAGCCAGCGAGGAAATTTTTGTTTTTTTTGCTTTATTTAACACTAATAAATTTTAAAAGTAACTTTTTTTCAAGATAGCTGAAAGCACATTTCTAGTGTAGGGTTATGGAACTTTTTTGTTGAAGAATACTTACCCATAACATAATTTAATTTGTATAGTGTTTTACAGATAAAAGATAGTGTTATTTACTTTTCCAATACAAAAAAAAAAAGTGAATCAAAAATTCTGTTCCAGTAAATACAGCATACTATTATTTTATGTTGTCTAAATTATCAGTTAAACGGCACAGTGAGGCAGGGGGTGCAAGTTAGAGGAAATAGGCCCGATGTGGGACAAAAAGAAACATTAGAAATAAGACTCAAGAGACAGGGGTATTTCATGCATAAAATTTAGTTTAGTGCGTATTTACTACTGCTTGTCATGTGTGAGGCCCAGTGCCAGGGGTGCTGCGGGGGCTAAAATGAGAATTACGACATTCTCTCTGAGGTCTGTCACTTCCAGAGTGGTGAAGATGAAGTGTCACAGCTGATGACAATTTATCAGCACTCCTTTTATGTATATATGTGTATATGTGCATTTATATATATATATATATATATATATGTGTATGTGTGTATATATTTGCCATATAGTTAACCATGGTAGGAGGTGGGTATTGAATTTTCTATATCCCACAACTAGTGGGTCTTCTGAGACTTTTCTCTGGAAAGCAGCCTAAGACTTGGGTTTCCTGAAATTCCTAGCCAGGCTTCTGACTAGGAGAGGCTTTCTGCACCTCTAACTGCTTACCCAGCTGCACTGGATGGTTGTGTGGCCTCCAAAGCAGCTAGTGTTGTGGTATAAGTCCTGTGCCCTCTAGATCAAGAAGACCTTATGAGGCATTTTATGTCATTTTTCATGCTGGTATAGGTTTTTAGTTAGACTTTCTGACTTTTAGCAGACATTTAGGTGATCATTGAGTGCTTTCTTGCATCTCTAGTGAGCTACTGAACTCCCTTTGAAACTGCATAAACAACTTTTCCATGCAGTCATATACAATAGCTTTGATGTTCCTGCAAAAAGAAAAGAAAAAAAAAAAACACGTTATGAAGTACTTACACAAGCAGATGCAAGAATCCCATTCTCTTAACTAGGAACCCAGTTGCTTTATTAACAGATTGCTATTAGATCAGATTATCAAGAGCTGGTCATCAGCATATAAAAATTATTTAAAAACCTAAGCCTTTATGGAATCTAATTCATGTTAGAATGTTATGTTTCAAGGAAGAGATACGTGATGACAATTTATCAGACATTAAATTACATCACAGATTTCCATATATTTTGTGTAATGACTTTTAGCTTTGACAGCAACAGAAATCATTCACTAGATGTTATAATTTTATGTCCTAAGTATGATTTTTTGAAGATCATATTGAAGTGAAATTTCAGTAAGTTCATGTTTATATGATTATATTCTTGAGATCTTATTAAAAGCCCATATTTAAGTTGATCAGATAGTGGTTTATATAGTTTCAGTTGTTTTAAATCCCATGAGTTAGCTTTGAGTGTATTTTAAGTTTCTGCAATTTAGACATCATTCTGTAATGTTCCCCAAAATCCAGTAATGTGACCCCCAGGGGTTGTCATACGGTAGTATAGCAACAGAAGAAAAGGTGAAGAAGTTACTGAAGCTGAACTTTTTCTGAAACCACATAATTACTTTGTGTTTTTCCTTAGGATCTCAATCTTTTTTAAAACTTCTTAGATTCATTGGTATGAGCTCTCAGGTTATGTCAACAGTCAAAGCCTCATTTGCTAATGTGTCCTTAGTGTTTTGTTCCCTAAAAAGATCATAGCAGTGCCCTGGCAGGGTGGCTGAGCTGGTTGGAGCATAGTCTTGTATGCAAAAAAAAAGGCTCAATTCCCAGTAGGGGCACATGTGGAATTACAAACCTGTTTTCCTTACTTCTAGAAGAGTGTGTTGATTTGACTCTAGGAAGCAAAATTATTAAAAGATATTTTGAAGGAAAGTGGGCAAAGTGACGAATTTGATCTGTTTTTTTGTTTTGTTTTGTTTTTTTATATTTCATTGATTTTTTACAGAGATGAAGGGAGAGAGACAGAGAGCTTGAAACATCGATGAGAGAGAAACATCATCCAGCTGCCTCCTGCACACCCCCCACCGGGGATGTGCCCGCAACCAAGGTGCATGCCCTTGACCGGAATCAAACCTGGGACCTTTCAGTCCACAGACCGACGCTCTACCACTGAGCCAAACCGGTTTCGGCTATCTGTTTGTTTTTTTTAAATGGCATGGGGGTGCACCTTCCCTTTCCACTGAGGAGTCTCCCTGACTGAACTGAAACACCAAAGGTGTCTCCCAGAGCAGAGCGGAGCGGAGCGGAGCGGACGCACAGCGCTAGCAGACAGTGCAGAGCGGACCTCAGCGGAGAGCTGTCTCCCTGGAGAGGGTCCTGGCCCCAGGGCTGCTCTGTGGCCATGCTGTTTTCACCGCTTTGCTGTATCCCTGCATAAAGTTTCCTTCGCCACACCCACATTCTTGTTGGCGTTGAATTGGTGCCAATAACCATTGGTTGATAAATCTAAAAAATGTATTTAAGAAAAACCAATAGCTAACACTTAATAAAATATTAATATCTTTCTTTCTCTTCCTAAAACAAATGGCATGGACCTGAGGGCATGTCCCAAGAAGAACTCTCCAAATACATTTTCAGCAGTGACAGCATTACTTCTGCCCTCCCCACCCCTTCTTCCCATTCACATCTCTCTCAGGCCTCCTCTTCATCCATCTGTGGGCAGGATCCAGCTGGGTAACCAAGATCTTTCACAATCTGGCAACAGAGGTCTCTACATTATCCACATTGATGAATGTCAGGGAGAATTATGAATGGTTAACAGTGGGTATAAGTAGATTGATTGTCATTAAGTAAATCAACATTTAAGAGTTGTCCTGAAAGAGAGTAGATTAGGCTCAGGTCAAGGAATCCATTGTCATGAAATTGATGAGATGTAGAGGTTATTTCTTTGTGGGTGACTCTGAAAAAACAGTTATTTCAGCAAAGAGAAGACTAGGCCTTTTAGCCTGTTCAGCTCAGATCTACTCAGCTGTCTTGTGGAATACTTTCTGGCCTTACGGAACAGGGCCTGGATTGGGAGCTGCAGTTGCGCTGAGAGGACTATCTTTTGTTGGTTTCAGATGAAGTGCCACACTCTCCAAAAGTCAGGTTACAAGCCAGTTTCTTGGCTTTAGCTACTCTCTTCCTTCTCTCCTTACCACCTCTACCTTATTGATCTTTTCTCCCTCTTCTGGCAAACATGACTATGGACCAGTCTATTTGTCCATCTTCTCTGCATCCTCACTGGGGCTGCTGAGTGCCGATGGAGACATTCTCACGTATGTTCAGATGGCGACCACCAGCTCTTGGCCTTAACCCCCATTTGGGCCCTCAGATTGTTCCTGTAGCCCATGTCTCTCTGCTCAGCTCTTTCCCATGCTACGTAGTGGCTGCTTTAGACCTCACTAAATCTCTTCCTGCCACCTCTCCTCTCAGTTTTTGTAGATTGCTTTGCTTCTTACTTATAGGAAAAACTGAAATGTTGTCACGTGAGAATTAGAGAAGCTGTGCAGGTGTTTCAAACGTGGGCTTTGGAGTAAGATATGAAAATTAGTTGTTCTTAACCTCTTTTTCTTCACCCCATCATTGAATCAACATCAAGCCTCATGCTTCCTGATTGATCCCCTGCCGCCAGTCTTAGTCCCCTCCCCTTTCCAGATCTCATCATTCTGTTTTGCTTTTGGCCCTCTGGTGACTCCCCATTGCTCTTAGTGTAGAGCCCAACATGGGTTAGAAGGCAGTATATTCTCTGCTCTCTGTTTACCTTTCTGTTCTCAGGTCTCACTATTCTTCTAGCTCCTCAGCTCTTAAAAATACTCATCCTCATCTTTGGGATTTTTTGTGCCCAAACCCTCTATTTTGCACTGCCCAGTACCTCCCTTTGTTTAGATTCCTGCTTCCTTGGCTAATTCTCAGGCTCAGTTAAGAGGTTTGCTTCCTCTACTGTCCCAGGTTAGGGATGGGTGCCCCTCCCATAGGCAACCATCTCACTTCATGCTTTTACTCTGAATAGCAATTGTCACACTGTATTATAATTGCCTATTTCTGTACGATTATCTGTTTATTCCCCACTGTATTCTGGTGCTTAATACAATACCTAGCACAGCAGTAAGAGTTCATTAAATATTTTCTGAACAAATGATGCGATGTAGAGAAAAGAGCCAGCGATTTAAAATCAGACCACTTTTGTGTGACTTAATGGTTTCTGAGCTTCAGTGATGTATATTTGTCTGCCTATGTAAGTGTGGATTAATTTAGGTAAATATGTTTAGCACCCAGCAGAGTGCTTTAAATACAGCAGGTTAGTAAAGATTAATCTTTACCTGATACTCTGTCAGTTTGTCCTTCCAACAACTTGGAAAGCTAGAGCAGCGTTTTTCAACCGCTGTTCCGCGGGATGTTGCCTGGTGTGCCGTAGGTGCAGACAAGACAAGAATTTTATAATTTTTCACTATTTTGTTTACTTAATATTTCATAATAAAGTAATTATAAAATACTTTCTTTGTGTTTATTTGATTCCTATTCAAGAGAATTACTTTATATATAGTCAATATAGGCACAGAGTTAAATTTTTTAACATTTTCTAATGGTGGTGTGCCTCGTGATTTTTTTCATGAAACAAGTGTGCCTTTGCCCAAAAAAGGTTGAAAAACACTGAGCTAGAGCATCCAGAGTCAGCCCTGCTTCCCACACAGCCAGGAGGCCTGCTCTTCCTGGGGCTGGAGACCCGAGCCAGTGAACTGCTCTGTTCTTTTTCTTCCCAACCAAACTCTTGCTCCAGCCTTTCCCTGCCT